TACAGCATTTCTTGGGACATTACCCATGTCTCATCTTCCTGATAGGAAGTCTTTTGTGCTGCAGTTGTAATGAAGTCCTCCTCCACAAACGGCATAGTGTACATTTTAAAATGCTCTCCTGACATTACAATACTTCACATATTACAAACCACAATAGAGTCAATTGTGCAATAGTTCTGTTAAGCTCATTATCTTAAGTGTGTCATTTGCTTTACATATGATTAATATGGTTGTTGAGACTTGGTAGCAGACCTCCTGTTTGCTGACAAATTTAGGGGTTTGCTGTGTAACACATAGCATTTCTTAAAGCAGATGCCATCATAAGTGGACCCAGATTATAGAACATTAACATCAGGACACTCATTTCCATTCCTGTTTTCATGCATCCAATCACTGTTGGTTTTTTATACTACCACTGCAGAGAACAATATTCTGGAAATTATTTTCAATGCCTGATGAGCTGTTTGGTTTTTTTTTTCCTTAGAAGATGTCCTAATTTCAGGTCCTTAAGAAGGTCATATTAATGAAATCCCTAACATTTCACAGGAAAAAAGAGATTGATGAAATTATTCTGCATTGAATCTCTGAATTCTAGTGTATGTGCTTGAATGCAATTTCTCAACAGTCTTCATATTTTACAACTGAAAAACCTTCAGACTATCAGCAAGATTCAGGCTGTTGATCACATCACTTACATCCAGTGAAATAAGACTACTGAGCCTTTAAGGTCCTTAGAGAGGAAATTAGGAGGTTAAGTAAGGTGTGAGCATACTACATAGCAGTGTATACTTGACTCAGTAAGATTATGCTTTATTTATCAAATTATTGGCCTGCCTTCAGAATCAGTTTTCCTTGAAATGAGGCTCAATTTAATTCTTAGGATGTGCCACAGATTCTTTGGAGGGAATTTATGGTCTTGAAGAGAAGGGTTTCCAAGCTGTCTTACATCTTTTGGGCAATGTCTGTGGTTTTATTCTTTCTTTCAAAATTCTCTAATGAATATAGAAGATCAAAATTTACAGAAATATTCCTGACAAGGATAGGAATTATTCCCAGTGGTATATTTTTGTTCTAGATTCAACAGTTTGAGGCAAAGACACTTTCTCTATTTCCCTTGAAGATAATTTCATAGTCTATCAGCTCCATTAAAATATATTTTGGATTTTTGACTGAAGTACAGTTTCCTTAATCTCATCCCAGTATTTCTAGTTCTGTTTCCTTGCACCATGGTGAGTAATTAGTCCCCAACTCCCATAGGCAGTTATACTGTCACTTAGTGACTGTTTTGCCTACCTTCTATGTTTGTAGACTGATTCAATTTTTCTTTATAAGTCTCTTCAACCCTGCAATCATTTTTGCTAATGCTCTTGAACATCTCTTTAGCTGTACACCTTTTACAGACCTTCAACCAAATGTGTTCCAGGTGTTGTCTCATCAGATTAGAGAAAGATCACCTCCTGATTCAAATTCTATGAGTACAGCATTGCTGTTTGGATTTGATAATATATTGCATTTCAAATTCAGACATATATTTCTGTCTGCTATCACCCCTTTAATCATTCCTACTTGTCTCTTCCAGTTAAAAAAAAAAATCACATAAAAAATTCCAATTGACTTTCAGTTAAAGAAAAAAATATACAACAGAGTGTAAGAAAGACATCAATGCAACACAGCACGTCATCTTCCCAGCCTAAGATTAAACCTGCTATCAAAGGGTAAACTCTTAATTAATATAAACTGTGATAGCCCCTACTGAAGATCTCTTCTGACAAAAGCTGAGAATCTTTCCCCTCATTACTACTATCCATTATGGGACAACTGGGTTTCCTCTGACAATCAAATGAATTTTAAACATGAAACAAAGCAGAATATGTAATAAGTATCTACAGTACACACTGAAAAGCACAGTTGATGACTTTGGATTTTCAAACCTGGTCATTAAAGTTTCAGCTCTAAGTCTTCAGCTTTCAGATCTGAGCCTTTAAATCCCTTTATTTTTATTCTTTCACGTTTATCACATTAAAATCTTTTTGCTCTCCATATTCTTTACTGGTTTTAAAATAACTGCACAAATATTTTGGGCACTGCAGAGTTACGAACAAGTGGATTATGTTGTCTACGGTTAGAAGTTCAAACTAAATCAAGGCAGGTGTTTCTGAAAGGTCCCTTCACCTGGACCTTCCTTACCATCTCTTCCTCTTCTTCCAAAGGTTGCTGACAAATTACTCCATATTATTGAGGCCAGCACATTTTAAACAATTTTTCTCATGATTTATGTGCTATATTTTGCCTTAGCTCTGCTAGAGGGAATAGTTGATTTCTCTGGGCACTGTGCCCAGATGATGTTTAATTTTGTCTACAGATTGTACAGTTTCCCAGATACTATACCAGAGATGAGCATTTTATAAGTTAATAAAACAATAAATAAAATAAAATATGTTCTCATGTCTCCAATGTAATAACTGGAACTTTAAAAGTCTTGCCCCGTTTGATAGAAGCTTCTCTTTGTTACAGTCAGTGACTAAAAATATAATAAATTATTTTGAAGTGATAAAAAAGAAGGTAAATCATTTATTTGATCTCCACAGAAGCACTTCAAATTTAACCTTAAATTTCTTAAACAATTAGCTAAAATAAAGTTCAACTACTGAATGCATTATGTATTAGTTATATTAAGAAGGAATCAGTTTGGATTCCACAACTATATTTCACATAATTATTCTATTTTTAGAATAAAAAGAGGAAGATAAACTTACTGTGTATTCTGATTTCCAATTGTCCATTTGTAAAAAAAAGAATGATGAGGGAAAAGAAAAAAAAAAAGAAATGTGAAATAAAACCATGATGCAAGATCCTTACAGTAAACATACATTAATAATAAAAAAAATGTGTCATAATATTTTGATTTATATTTGATTAAAGTCTATGGGACAATAAAGGGTACAAGTCAGCACAAAATTTAAGCACCTGATGTTTTCTTTGCAATGAAGGAACTGCATAGATACAACACTCTATTTTTTACCTATCCATAGTCTATAATCTTTATTTCCTGATATCAGCCAATATAAGATGGAAAAATATATGCACTTCAACAGGATTTGTTAAAGTAACTTGGCATCTGTGGCTTAATATGTAACTTAGAAATTCTGAAGACAAGCTAAACTAGCCAAAAAGTACAAGTCAGTAATAATTTCTGCTTTATTCCTTACCTGTGATTGTATATGGATAATAATTCCAAGCCTTCTCTGTAACATAAAATATTTTGGGAACAACTGCTCTAGCCCAGCTAGGCAGTTTGCTGAAAATAAAAACAAAATACAAAATTAGAATCTGCTATGACATACAAGCATTGCAGATAAGAAGATACTGCTAAACATGTTCATAATTTGTCAGGTATTTCACAGGATATGAAGTCACACCTAGACTTCACAACAGTATTTTCATCCTTTGACTATGTATTCCACCTCAGCTTTCTCCACAAGCATATATGAATTCAAGTCTGTGTGTTTCCCTCTCAAAGGGAGCAACATGGTGCCACGGCAATAACCTCCACACAGATTTAAATTGAGGTTGCAGATTTCAAGAATGTATGGCCTCAAGCCTTTGGCCATGGATGAACAAAGCAGGTTAGACCATACAAGGTGTATCTGTGTCACAGGATTCTTAACCACAGGGAGGCACTCTGCAACAAGAGGTCATAAGTAAATAGTTATTTCAGTCCACTTTGATACCAATTCCGTTATTTCTTCTTACAGACTATTTCTTCTTCCTCCATATTCTCTGCTGGAACACAAACCTACCTAGCACAGAGTTTTTCCCACACTACCAACACCAACTCTTGAGCAGGAAGCTTTTATATTAAAACTCAAAATGCCTCTGTGAGGTTGGTAGTAGTATTAGTTCCATTTTGCTGATGGGAAAAGTAAATTACAAAAGTGAGGAGAACTAATGGAACTGATGTCATAGCTGAGAGCTCAATCTGTCAAGAGAACTTACCAATGCAGTGGTACAACAGCAGTAGAATAAGAAATGAAAGATGTGGATACAGCATATGGGAAGATCATTAAAGGGTAATTAAATAATGCTATGGAAAAGTGGGAGTATTTTCTTTACCACAGATCTCGGGTCTCTCATTTCCAGAACTCTGGTCACTCATGGTACCAAAGTAATGATGAACAAGTATACATTTTAAAAATAAGGCAAGTTCATGAGAATTAATCTTTCAACCCTTTCTGAATGACATCAGTTGTAATCACTGAAGCTGCCGGTAACAAAGATGCAGCACTAGTCACTCAAAGGAAGGCAGCCCTTTGGAGACCACAAACATCACTGTGCTTCAGAGACTCAGTTACAATTGTGTTAGTGTGGGGATGTGTCCATCAGATCACCCAGCTTAAGACTGAATCTTTGCTGAACTAAAGCAGATGCTTTCAAATCTCAGTTTTCCAAGTGTACATGTTTGAAACAGTTCTGTTTAGATAACTGTGTGCAGAAAGTAAATTAACTTTCCATATTAGCAAATTTCTGAGGAAAATAGAGAGTTTGGATCATTAAGGCTTTTTAAACCATGATCTAGCTACACATAAATATTGGATTCATCCAGGAGCAAAATACAGACCTTAGTACATTAGCTAAAGATTCAAAGTCAAATGATTGACTTTTGCTCTTTGATGACATCGCTCAAAACCAGATTCTTTTCTTTACATAAACCTTTCTTCTGCACAGGCTTTTAAGTAGCATTTTACATACTGCATAACAGACTTCATTGTATCAGATCTTTTGTTTATTCTGTCAGCCTCTGTCAGTGTCTTTTTATGACCGTCTCTCTGCTCCCTCCCCTACCCCTGCTAAACTTTACTCTGATGTCTAAATAATAGACTTCCAGCTCCTGAAAATAATGCTCCAGCAGGAGAGAGGAGGCAGTAAACAATTCTGGATTTAACTAAGGCTTACACTGACACCAGAAAATTTTACTAGTAATGTCTTTGTTAACATACAGCTGGTTCATTTTGCACTTCTGTGGTTATTGTTGGGTTTAGTGTATTAGCCTGCCTACCTGTCTTCACTGGTACAGCACATCTCCAAACCAAATAATTTTAGGAGCAAAACACACATTATACTCAGAGTTTCCAGTAAGTTACAGTCATAGACACACACGAATTGTTCCAAGGGTCCATTCAGAGAAATAAAAGATAATATTTTGATTTTAGCAGCACCAGTATGTGTGAATTACATTCTTCTTTAAAATAAATAAATAAAGACATTAATTAATTAATTAATTAATTTCTTCCTTCCCCAGATGAAGTTCAGTCTTTCAGCACACAGGGAGTGTTTCTTAAAGGCATTCCAGCTGACACCATTGGTAAGCAAGGAGATCCTCTGGAAGAATTAAAGTATTATCAGGCATTGCCTGCACTACCAGAAACTACATGCTTCCCACATATGTCTTGTACATGCTTTCTAGGACACAGTCCTTGTGGTTATTCTGAATTACCTGAAAGTGGTAATTCTGAATATGCTCTTCAGTGCTTAAAGCCTTACTTTTTTTTTAACATGAAGGAAAGAAATATCCAGAAACATTAAAAAAAAACCCCAACTCCACAACTTCTGGGAGCTCTACAGCAGGAACACATTTATTGATTTTCCCCAAGCCCTGTATCTAGCCTGCCAGAGAACAGAGTTACTATCACAATAATATTAAATGTTGCCAAGACATATATTATTGGACTCGTGTGTGTGTGTGCGTGCAACATTGCTGGTGATTCAATTTAGCCTGAGTTAAGGTTAGATATGTCAGGATTGCAGTGGAGGAGTAACTTGCAATGTAGAAGCAATAGCTATAGTGTTTCTATGCCCACTACAAAATGCTGCAGAGCATGAGTTTAATAAAATGAAACAGGCCCAGGGGAGCAGAACAACTTCGGCAAAGCAGTGATATTCAACTAGATCAGCAGTAGTAAAAATAGGAACAGAATGAGTAACATATTTCCTAGGACACAAAAAAATAATATATATATATATATATATAT